TTGTTGGGGGCAATATGCTGACTCTGTAAACCGCTTAGAGTGGGCTGAAAGGCCTATGAAGCGGTATATAAGTCTAATTGCTATTCCTATTGCTATCACCACTATATAAGAAGGTCCCTGAAATCCCCTCGGGGTTCAGGCCATTTATTCTTTGCTTTGAACCTGCACAAATAAACCTTTCCTTCTTTGAAGTGCTGGTTTGTGTCTCGTCATTTCTACAACACCCTGTGTTCCACCAAATGTTAGAACAGTGATAAGGAGTCTCTGGGCCTCAACTAAATCCTCTTTTCTCCTCTCTTCTCTCTCTACCAGCTGTCCCTCTGTTTCTTTTACTTTCTCTCCTCTCTCTTAAAGAAGAAAGATGAAGCCCTAGAAAATAATGCATACATCTCTAATTTAACAGATTAACAGAGTTGGAAGAGACCTTATAGGTCATCTAGTCCATCCCCTCAAGCAGGAGACGCTACACCATTTCTGACAAATAGCAGTCCAATCTCTTCTTGAAAGTCTCAAGTGATGAAGCTCCCACAACCTCCGAAGGCAAGCTGTTCCATTGGTTGATTGTTCTCACTATCAGAAAGTTACTCCTTATTTCTAGGTTGAATCTCTCCATGGTCAGTTTCCATCCATTATGAAAACTTACATTCTGGTAAAACCACTGATCATGGCATCTTCTAGGGAACCTCGGTCTTCGTGGGAAAAAGCCCCTGTCCATATTTCAAGGCCTGTGTGGAATTAAAAATAATACCATTTATCAGCATTATATTTAGATACATTCTATTTAGAAGTCTTCTAAACAGCAAGTTACAGGAATTTATGGCTAATGTCACTATGCAAATCTCTTTCTACAGCTGTGTTTCTCAAACATTCCCCAATAACCATTTAAAAAATGGATGAACCCCACCCCACCCCCAGATTAAACAAACATCCATCTCCCCACATATTGTCCTTAAGAAATGTTTACTTGTGTACAGTATGCCCTGACATCTTCTCCATCTTAAAAGACTTTTTAAAATTAAATTTTATATCAAAACAGTCAATTCAAAATTAAATTTGTGCCTCTTGAGGAAGGCTTGTGGCAGAGAGTGGGTGCTAGTTCAGTTAGATAGGCCATGGAAGTGTGGAGGCTGACACAGAGAGTGAACCCAGATGTCAAGAGCTTGGAGCCCCTGCCAAGACAGGAGCTTCACACAGGAATGATAGTAAAATTACTGTTATTTATCATCATGCAATAACTTGAGCTTGTTATATGCACATACTCACACATTTAATGTGTTTACTATTTTGTGCTCAAATACCACCACACTTAAACAGTACTCATGATGCTGTGGGAAGCATTCATGAAAGAATGAAATATTTTGGGAAATATTTAAAAAGGCACAATATTATATTTCCCTAAAGGAGAGATAGGGAAATATGTTTTAGAGGCATAAAGCAGCCCCCATCTTTGTTAATAGCCCACAGCAGATGCCAGCACTTAAGGAGATAAAGAGCTTATTCAAAGAAGAAGCCAACTATCTAGATGGCTCCATTCATAAGAAAAGCAAATATTGCAGGCAGAAATCCAGTCAAGACAGGATATTTCGAAACTCCTTGCAGCAAAGTTCAACAGCTAACATAAGCAGAATGGTAGGATTAAAGAGCAGCCTCTCATCCAAGATCCAACACAGGACAAAAGCTATTAGCCACACTAGGAATTGCCCAACACCCTTTCAGAACACAACCCCCTTCATTGCACCACCCCCAGAGCAGTCCAAACCAAGTCACTTTTTCATCAAAGCTCACTTTTTGTTGTAACTGTGAATAGTTGTTATATGAGGTATTCATTAAGCAAGACTACTTCTGTGTAGATTTATAAAACTTGCTTGGAAAATTCATATGTACAGGTAGAAGCAATTTATAAAATCATATGTGCAAAGGGAAAATTGACTTTATTATATTACTTCTTTGCCATTTCTTCTGGAGTAACTATATCTTCACAGATCCTTTTCACAGGTAGTCTATCTATCCATAGGTAGTCAAATATCGTTATGTTGCATCCTGCTGCAAGTTCTCATTTGCATGTATGCTAAAGGTAACAGAATTATGGTGACTGGTTCTTAATAGTTCCACAAGCCTTGCAAGTTGTTCACCATTTAAGAATAAATCTAGACTTCCTCCCTGTTTAGTTCCAACAAAAAATGTTTAAAGGCACAGTCATTTAGAATGCATAGAAATTTGGCTTCTTTTTGTGTTCTGTGCATGAAAATACCTATTTACATGAAGATAAGTGATGACCACTTATCAATTTTAAATTACTAAAGTAACATTTCTTTAATAATGATCCATTATAAAAGTAACATTTCCTTTCCATTCTCTATTTCACTGTGTCGAGACAGCACTATTATCACTATTATCATTTTAATCAAGTGGACAATAGAACTTCCTTAAATCTATTTTACATTTGTGGCAGAATGAAGGGATTTGGTTTTCCAAAGTTTCTAATAAATTAGATTTTATTACCTCTTTGATATAAATAGCAAACCTTCTCTAGTGCATACAATCCTTTTCATTTCACAATTCCCTCCCTTGCATTCCAAATCTACCCCTCCCCTGCCCTGTTTCTGTTGTCTACTTGTGAGGGGTGTATGTGTTTGTGTGTAGGGAGGCAAGCATGCATGACACAATGCTTGTATCCAGGAATGATTATGTCCTACTGGTTATTTCCATTCCATCAGTTTTCCATCATATATTCCTGTTCATAGCCAAATACTGTAATTACTTAGCATTGAGAGTATCACACATGTACACAGTGTACATTTTCAAATATTGCTGGTGTTGAGTTTTATTCACAGCCTTTACTACATTGTCATGTACACTGAAAACCAATTGTTTTCTGTACTGAATACTTAGTGAAACACTCAATAACTGCTCAGGTTCAAGGTTACCAGGGAAAGAAACAGATCTATGCTCACAATCAACTATTACATTTGGCTTCATTTTTATTTGCTGTAACATTTATTATCTAGCAGTTAGATAATACATTCTAGTCAAAACTATCTCTGGGTATTCTGCCAAATCCTATCTTCAGACTTGCATAAAATCAGGTCTGAGTTTTTCTGACAATTTCTAGTCAGGATGTCTTGACATCCTTTAACTTACTTCCAGTATTAGCCTTCTCTCTTATGGTACTTTCCAAAATAGCTACACAATCCAAACTGGACGCTGTCTAGCAGTTTCGAAGTTATGCACTAGCAACTGTTAGTATTTAAGTGCAAGTGGACACCATAGGTTTCTTCTTGTTCCCAAAGTTCCCAGTTTCTAACAAATCTAAAGACCTCTACCTCCAGGTAGTCTTCAGCTTACAACTGTTTGTTTAGTGACCATTTGAAATTACAACTGCAATCAAAAGAGGAATGGGTCTTCACAGTTACAACCATTGCAGTATCTCCGTAATCATCAAAATTTGGGTGTTTGGAAACTGGCAAGTATTTATGATAGTTGCAATGTGCCAGGGTTGAGAGATCATTGTATGTGAGCTCCTGGGCTGGCTTCCGACAAGCAAAGTCAATTGGAGAAGCTGGATTTGTTTAATGACTGTGTGATTCATTCAGTGCAGTGATTTTCTTACCATGTCAGAAAAGGTCATAGCAGTAAAAATTCTGGTCCCAATTGTGGTTGTAAATTGAGAATTACTTGTACTACTTCTTCTATGTCTTGAAACCTCTAAGCTCTGTCTGCCCGTCTAAGCTAGGGGTCTCCAAACTTGGCAGATTTAAGACTTGTGGACTTCAATTCCCAAAATTCCCCAGCCAGCCAAGCTGGCACTGCCATGCGCAGTGCCATGTGCACGAAGGACAGCTGATTGTCGCATACGCATGCATGTCAGAAACCCAGAAGACAAACAGGCAAGGCCGTGCCGGGTGACATTGCGGCATCGCGCTTCCGGTGGGCTGCTCATGCTCTTGGCCGAATGAGAAGGAAGACACCGGACAAATGTTTCCTTGGGATGAGGGCCCCGAACGAGGCTCGGGGAACCTCTTTTATTAGGTACAAACAAAGAGAAGGTGTATACAATTAGCAGGCACATGATTAACTAAGTCCAATAATAATGTTACAGCGTGGCAAAAACCTCAGCCCTAGGCGGGGAGAAAAGTGGGGAGAAAGGTGGGGAGAGAGGTGAGGAATACACGCACGGCTCACATTCCTGTGTCCGTTTGGGGTGCTTGCCAATTGATATATTCCAGATGCCAGCGCAGCCCGTGCTGGACACCTTCGCACGTAGGCTGGTACAGTTCTGCACGTAAACTAAAAGGAATGTTATACATATTGCTAAAAGGAATGTTGCAACATGACATGGCTTTGTGCGCCACTTTGGACATGTTATAGGTTTGCCATCATAGACCTAGATACTCCAGACTTCAATCTGCTACCTAACAACCTGAATTTGGGTTTCAGGACTAGCTAATTAATGTTCCAAATGTCTCTGATGGCAACATAGACCAGAATTGATGCTCCTCCCTAATACTATCAAGCTAATTTCCTAGTTAAATAAACCAAACTGTAACTATATAAATTATTCCTGCCTACAGAGGAAGCTTTATGAAAGAAGGACCACCACTGAAAGGGTGTCATGCCTTGAGTGAATGTGCAGAGTTTAGGCAATCTAAATAAAACTATTTGCAAAAGTAATTATTATTCTATAAACATAAAGAATATATTCATATATTCTTTATGTTTCCTACTATATTCTATGGTAGGAAACATAAAGCTTACTTAAAAATTCCATGAACAAGTTTTAACCCTCTGCTGAAACTGATTTCAGGGGGAAGGCTTGCCTCAATGGGCTAGAAATATTTTAAAACAGACTACACTGGGGAGTTAAATGCCTAAATTTGAAATTACAAAAAGAAATATAGAACCAACTTAGAGCAGGTAGTTTGTTTTCATCATATTCTATAAAGCAAGGGTTCTTAAGACAATTTAAAAAAAAATCATCCAGAACTATTTAGATTAGAAAATCCATTAAAAATCGATAGAACATAGTAACTCTATTTGGTATTATATCTAAATATCTAATAATACTAAATAAAAGCAAAGTAAAAAATGAGAAAAAGTGAGAAAAATCCTTTTAGGGGAAAAAGTATTTGCAACAGCAAAAGTTGCACAATCAGCCTTTAAAGGGAAGGAAACAAAGATAAAGTTACATACTTACTTCTTTCATCATATTTTTTATCTAGCCCCCACTATTTTTCTCTGCACTTCTTTATTAGTTTGCATTATTTTTTATCCTTTTATTTTTAACAAAAAAATATTTTAAAAAGCGAGGGGAAAAAGGGGGGGTGAGTGGGAGATAATGCTAAAACTGAAAGAAAACTAACAGCGTGAATAACAACATAAGACAGACCAGCCCTAACAAACCTTTTCTCAAGATTATGCTCTGAGGGTGACTTTTAAGTAGTTTTCTCCACCCCGGTGCTCTCAAATCTCTAGTAGCTACAACTGGGAATGTACATTCATATCTTCCACCTTAAGGACTCTAAATAATGGAAGCTGTTTACAAACTAGTTATTAAAACCTATTACAGGAGACAGCCCCTTATTCCCACGAAGTGACATGGTAGCCACGAGCTGCCTGCTTAAAAATAGTCGCCATCCATGAGTAAACCGTTGCGCCGCATCCACCTCACCGCGCGCAGAAGGCGCAACAACTCAGCACGGTTTCCCATTCACCATCCGCGGCACAAAAGAGGCGTAAACAAATATCAATCTTTATTTCTCCACACACCCCGACTATGGTGTCAACACATTTTGAAATAGGGCTGAAGCAATAAGTAGGCACTTCTTGTGCACAAGTAGACCCGTAACGTACTCTTTTTGATCACCAAAGTGAAAATCTATTTTAAGAGTCTTCAAAATAGTCGGAAGAAGGAAAAGAGAAATCAAGAAATAATTACAATAATATTAAGGCTATTGTAGCAACTCATAAAATTATAAACCATTCTAGAACATGTGTGTAACCATAAATATAATTAAACCACTCTTGAGAAAGCCTGCTCTCCCCCTACAGGCTTATATTGCACAAAATCAACAGATTCACCTTGTTTCAGAATCTTGTAGTCATAGTTTTAAATAATGCGCAATATTCAATAGCAGTTACTTTGCTTTTAGGGCTGTCTTGCTTCCTCATCGCTTGTCCAGATACGTTAGAAGACCAGTCCTGGAAAACTTACCAAGCCAGCGTCTACTTCGGCTCTGTTTTAAAACGGGGATCCAGTCCAATTCGACAGCTCACAGAAACATTAAGGGCTGACTGGAGTTTTACTAAAGATAAGATTTGAGATGCGCGCTGATAACGTCCAAGTCTCCGCGCCACGGGCTCAGAGGGGAAGCGCAGTCGAGCAACGCGGAAAATAAAGTTATCGAACCAAGCAACAATCTTCTTAACACGCGCTTCTTTTCGGCTTTGCAGTTGCAGGCAAGGCGGCGGCGGCGCACAAGAACTGCATTTTTGAGAGCAAGGAGGGACCAAACGTTTCTGCAGACGTTTCCTTTGGCAATTGGCCCAGGGAAATAAAACCCGTGAGTTAACGGGCAATGATGAAAAAGAATCGGAGCGGTCAGGTGTGTTTCTTTCTCTTATAATAAAAATACATGTAGAATTTTAACCCATTAATTCACATAGTCTAGTATTACGCCAAATGCATAAAGGGGTGTGTGGAACATAATATAATAAGTTTTAATTTTCCATTTAATACTGTATTTTATCATTTATAATCAAATTACCTAGAGTTAGTATCTTAACATATAGCCACACTGCTACATATTCAAGACACAACCATGATTAAAATTTCAATTGTTTATATTGTAGATACCACTTTATGTTTAGCTGTTCTTAAGTTGCCATGATCAAAGAAAATAGTTAAGTTTAACTATTCTCTTGAGAAGGCTGAGAATGTTTAGGTGGCAAGGGCTTAACTAATGTTGGAAGAAAAATCCATCTGGTTCAGTTCCAAGCTGGGAGAAAGGCATTGGAAACAAAATGGAAGCTGGAGGCTGATTGAAAAGGTCCATTTATTGGTGAACCAAACCACTAGGGTTTGTGTTCTGGTGCAGCTTACAAAATGGAGTTGAGAGTTGGGTAGGTTTTTATACCTTCTTTGAGCTTTGTATGTGAGCTTCCTGTTGCTGTGCAGGAACATATCTTTTAATATTATATTTAATATACCAGATTTTCAGATTGATAAAGAGGGACACCATTGACAGGGGGGGGGGCGGCTTGATTAAAAATTTTATATTTTGTCAAAAGGTCACACAAGGCGATTATATGACCCCAGGACTCTGAAACCATCATAAATA